CTTAGAAATGTGTTAGTATATTTCAGAAGGTATTTGATGTGATGAAGCCTAATCTAGTGTTGGAATTGATTCATTACTTAAGACTCTCGAGTTATCCTAATCTAAAAGTGTAAAAATCACGATTATTTGCTTTTTTCGAGGTTATGTAACATTGTAACTAAATTTGTTTCCAAAAACCAGTAAAACCATCATAAACCAACACTTTTGTCCTTTAAACACTATTTTTTGGATTAGAAATATTTGTTTTCATCGAAATATCATTGATTGATATTAAGTATTTTAACAGTTTCGCAACGACATTAAAATTACAGATTACCAGAGTAGGAAGTTAAGGAAATTAGAGTTCAAGGGCTTAGGCTTATATACGAGGTGTGTTCAAAAAGTAACGAGAATTTTTAAATTTCGCGGGTTTGGAGAGTCCGCTTGTATAAAACTTTTTTTTATTATGTTGGTACACATGCCCCTGAAGTACGATAAAATTTTCAGCAATATTCATTGCTTACTTTTTAAGTGGCAGCCGCTAACGTTAGACGTGTTTTTCGAGCTCGGCGATTTTCGTTTGTGAAAAAAAATGGATCAAAGAATTTGTATTAAATTTTGCGTAAAAAATGAAATAAAGTGTAGTAAAGTTTGTCAAATGTTAACAAAGGCATATAGTGAGTCTGCTATGAGTAAAGCAAGGATTTATGAGTGGTATAAGCGTTTCCAAGATGGCCACGAAAACGTTGAAGATGACGAACGACCCGGACGCCCAAGCACATCAACAACCGATGAAAACGTGAAAAAAGTGAAAGAAAGGTTATGAACGATCGCCGAATCACAATCAGAGAAGTCGCTGATGATGTTGGCATATCAGTTGGCTCATGCCATCAAATTTTTTCGAATGTTTTCGGTATGAAACGTGTGGCAGCAAAATTCGTTCCAAAATTGTTGAATTTCGAACAAAAACAGCGGCGAATGGAAGTTGCTCAGGAGTCGCTAAATGAAGTCAATAACGATGCAGAACTACTAGAACGTGTTATAACAGGTGACGAAACATGGGTTTACGGATATGATGTCGAAACTAAGGCTCAATCGTCCCAGTGGAGGCATTCTGGATCGCCAAGACCGAAAAAGGCTCGACAAGTGCGGTCGAATGTGAAGGTTATGCTCACTGTGTTCTTCGATTTTAATGGCATAGTGCATTATGAATTCTTGCCACAAGGTCAAACAATCAATAAGCAGTACTACCTACAAGTTCAACGTCGTTTGCGTGAAGCAATCCGAAAAAAACGCCCGGATTTGTGGCAAAACAATTCATGGCTTTTGCACCACGATAATGCGCCTGCTCACACTTCATTGTTTGTTCGTGAATTTTTGGCCAAAAACGAAACTGTAACGATGCCTCAGCCTCCATATTCGCCAGATATGGCTCCATGTGACTTTTTTCTATTTCCAAAAATAAAGAGAAAATTAAAAGGCCGTCGTTTTACAAGCATAAATGACATTAAAAGCGAATCGCTGAAAGAGCTAAAAGCTATTACAAAGATCGAGTTTCAAAAGTGTTTCGAGGATTGGAAAAAGCGTTGGCATAAGTGTATTGTATCCGAAGGGGACTACTTTGAAGGCGACAACATTAATGTAGATGAATAAATAAATATTTTTTTCATAAAACGAAAATTCTCGTTATTTTTTGAACACACCTCGTACAACCCAATTTTCGTCCCCAGTGATGATGCGCTTCAAAAACGCATCATTTTCGTGACGTTTGAGAAGCGAATAGCAGACGTCAATGCGGCGACACATATTTCTCTCTGTGAGAACATGGGAAACCCATACATCGAGCTTCAAGGATAATTCCAGGCCTTTCAAGTGGTCATAAACTGTTGAATTTAATAAATTTAATCTCAATCTGATTTCACGTGTTATTCGCCGGTTCCCATTAACTAATGCCTTTATCGCGTCTTTATCAGTGTCAATCGGCCTTCCTAAACGTGGTGCATCTTCGACATCAAAATTGCCGGATCAAAATTTAGCAAACTAGTTCTGGCACTGGCATACTGTCAATACATCTTTTCCATACACATCGGTCAATTTATTTCTGGCTTGAACAACATTTTTACCCTTTCAGTAGTAAAACAGTAAGATATGTCGAAAATGATGCTTATAGATCTCCTTATTTAAAAGGGCACCAACTAAAAACTACTGCGTAGAAGTAATTGAAATTTTTCACACACCAACCTTACAATATGAGCTCTCAAAGCATATAAAAATTATACGGCCTAAGTGTGAAGTTGGGTGCAAAAAAATACAATTAAATCCTTCGTCGGGAAAAAACGAAATTACTTTCCGAACAACCTAATAATATGGACCAGCTTCGGAGTTTCTTCGTTATTTAATATTTCAAGGGTAACCACCCCCTAAACCCTACTATTGCTATATAAATAGTTGTCAATCACCAATTACGCTGATTTTTCATTTGCTATGACGCTTAAAAATTGATGAGAGTATTATACTATTGTTGTGCTAGAAAAGGAATTTGGGGTCTGGAAACCACCCTCAAAAGCCACCCCCAAAACCATATTACAGAAATATCTTCGGTATTTATGAGTATTTTTCGACAAAAAAAAATTTGAAAAAATCTATATAAAAGAGAAACGTAACCATACAGGTTTAGTCACCGGGGGTCGCCAGCCCTACGTTGTACAGGGGTGAAACTATATTTAGAATATATATTGTTACCGTCCAAATTTAAAAACGGATCATAAAAAAATTAAAAAAACGATTTATCTTGTGAAAAATAATACGAATAAACCTAAAGCGTTGCGGTATATCTCCTAAACACTTAGTGATTAACTCCATACGCATACCCCCTAATCATATTCCTGATTAACCCCCTAATTAGCTCCAGTCGCATACCACCTGATCAATCTCAGCCCCTGATCAACCGCCCTCGCATACCCCGTGATCAACCTCACTCCCTGATCAATCCCACTCGCATACCCTCTGATCAACCTCATCTCCTCATTAACCCTACTTGCATACCCCCACTCGCGAACCCCTGAACACTCCCGTAAATTGTATTTTCAAGGGTAGCAGTACTACTTTCTGATGTATGGTCCGTTTGTGGAAATAAAATTCATTCGCAATGTCACATAATTTTGAATTTAGGTAAAAATCTAGCCTAAAGGCTTTTGCACGTTTACGTTAGAATGTCTTAAAAGCGTGATGTGATTGCTCAATTTTGAGGAGGGATTCAAATTTTACGCATAAAATTACTCCAGAAATTACTTCCAATCTTACTAGAATATTCAATAACAATCCCATTTTTTACTATTTATACAGTTCTAACTGCAAAAGTTGTTTTGTTCACTCAATTTACGTATGTTATCGTATTCTATCGGCCTATTTTACTGAATAGAAAGGAACTGTTATGATCGAATTTCAACTTTGGTTTGCCTCGTTAACCCCAATCAAATCGAATTTAAATTTTGGTTAGCGGCGTTAACTGCAATCAAACCGAATTTTAATGTTTGTTCGCCACGTTCACCAGAGTGATATGCGGCATGCCGTATATATATATATATATATATATATATATATATATATACAGAATGTCCCATTTTAAAGGAACCACCCCGAAATTTTCGACGGTTGGCGTTGTACAAAAAAATTGTTCAGACAATAGTTATCTGGGACAATGTGGGCAACCTTTCTGTGAAATCCGATTTGACCTTGAGATTTATTTTCAAGGTCATTTGAAGGTCAAAGTCATTTTTTGAATAAGGACCCCCATTTTTTATCCGGATTCGAAAAGAACGGGAAATTCTACGTTTAGATAAAGTATTATTTTGGGGGAGCGGTTCACCCCCCCCCCATCCCACCGGGGCAAGGGTGAGGTTAATAAGGTATTGATTACCCAGCCAGTGAAGGCAAGGTATTGATTACCCAGCCAATGAAGGTAATGTATCGATTACCCAGCCAATGAAGGCAAGGTATTGATTACATAACCGGGTGCTTGCGGGTAATACCTTGCCGCAGCACGATATCGGCCTTGACATGCCCCGAGAGACAACAGAATATCAACAATTTCGTTTCTCGAATAATCCGGCATATTCCCTCCTTTTAAGTCGACTAAGAAAATTACACTTGAAACTATCCTGAGAAGGACTGTTCGCGAATCACTATTGTCATAAACAATACTAAAAAAGTGTTATTAAACAATTTAGTTGAAACTTTGTTGGCTTGTCCGAAATTACACCAGAAAAAAGAATGGAAATAACATGTTATCCCACAAAATAGAAAATAACACTTCTCATGAAGGCTTTGAATACATGAAGTCGACTTTGAAAATCAACCTGAAGTTTAAGCTCAAGGTCACTGTTGTTTGACCCTATAATTTTTTTGGGATATATTGGGGTTATTGAATTATTGGGGTTATCGGATTATTGGATTATTTGGGTTATCGAGTTATTGGGTTATTACAATTAACCTTACCCTTGCCTGATCATCCCTGTGCATAGATGAAGAAAATCATAAATTTGACCCCTACATGACCTTAGGCGAGGGGGGGGGGTTAACCGCACCCCACACATAATACGTTATCTAAACGTAGAATTTTCCACTCTTTTCGAAGCCGGGATCAAAAATATGGGTTCCTATTCAAAAAAATACTTTGACCTTTAATTGACCTTGAAAATAAATCTCAAGGTCAAATCGGATTTCACAGAAAGGTTGCCCCCATTGTCCTAAACAACTGTTGTCTGAACAATTTTTTTGTACAACGCCAACCGTCGAAAATTTCGGGGTGGTTCCTTTAAAATGGGACACCCTGTATATATACATACACGGCAACTCAAGATTATTGGATTACTTTTTATATGGTCCAAACTTCAAAACATGTTTTGTTAACTCAAAACATATATGTATATATATCATTTGATGTCAAGATATTTTAGTCTGAATGTAATACAATTTTGTTAACATCGTATAATTTTTTTGAATATCAATATTGTGTGATAATGGCAATCGAAATTCACAATGTCATGCAAAGTTTATTAAAAACATTCTATGTAACTGAAATAGTGGAAAATATATCAAAATTGAACGACGCAAAGAAACAGCTACACGATTATATCGGAAATGTATTGAAAAAAAGTATTGAAGGTAATTATTAAGGTGTTGAGTATCAAACAACTGACAATTTATGTTTCCTAGATGATGATTTTGATATCAACCCTACCCAGAAGTGATTAACAATGATTTTGAGGAAGTACATGTTGAAGATTATGCTAAGATACAAATTAATTGTATTATAACTAATACAACAGTCGATGATGGATACAAAAGAAAAGCTGTTGAATACCAGGAAATTGAAAGAAAAAGAAGTTGTCTTTTAGTTCCGTTCAAAGTAAGTATAAATTAGTTACGTCAGAACGTTAGTTGAGAATATGGAAACAGCAAATTTCCACAGGCGGTACTAGAAGAGATAATTTGTTTAAAATTTCAGAGTACACTCTACAAAAAATTGAAGATACTTTAAACCGGAAGTTAACAGTTCGTGATTTAGATCTTAAAAGATGGGCATTAGAAAAGAAGTAAGAATTGAATGTGCCTTGGTTTAAAGCATCATCAAAGTGGATATTGTTAATTAGAAGAAAACATAAAATAACGAAACTTGTAACAAAAGTATCTATTGATAATAAACCTAATCTACAGCTGAACTGTCAAAATTTTGTTAATGAAGTGAAATCTGAACTATCTAAAAGAGATCAAGTAATGTATATAATTCTGATCAAAGTGCATTGTACAATCAATATCATCTACTACACATAGCCATACGATACAACCGACAATATCTCCAGAAGTTATGTTTCTGTCGCCTCTTATGATTTTAAAAGAACCAAAGGATGAATTCGGGCCTACTGTTGTAAAAAAATTATTCCGAGTACCTAATATATATTTGCAAGCAAGTGTATCAGGAAAACTGTCAAGTGAATTACTTTAAACGTGGTTAGGAGATAATTGTATAATTTTTTTTCGTAATTATTGAAAAACTGCAATTTTGTTACTAGGCTCATGGAGTGGGCAATATGAATGCACTGTGAAAAGTTATATCTCAAGATAAAAATTTTCGATTGATGATAATCTCTAAGAATACCACAAGAAAAATTCAACCATTGGATGTATTTGGTTTAAGAATTTAGAAAAACTTTGTACGGAAAATATCTGATGCTGTCATTTTATTCGGATCGGACATAAATGTACATCAAAGAAATAATATTATAAAATTATAATCTATTACACATAATTAATTATTTCCACCTAGATTCCAAAATGTATTCAAACATGTTTGGTACAAGAGTGGATATTTTGATGAAAAACCTCCTAAATTCTATAATCCTGCAGAATATTGCTTTGCAATTGAAGAAGATCCTATCTGCAAGATTTATGAAAATATAGCAATTATGAAATTATTATTGCTCACAATATCAACAGTTACAAGAAGACGGATCTTATATATAATACAATTATTAACTTTAAAAATTTGATTGAATTTCAAGAAGAATATCATCATATTCTTCTTAACATTTACACAATCAAACGTATTAATATTGTATTAATAAAATAAAGAAACATGCATCACTTGTACAGAATCAACTTGTATAGGGGTGAATTTTTTTGCGGGTTACTCTGTCTATGGAAATATTTGTCAAACAATTGATCTACCTGGGGGTAAACCCGTCCGATAACATTTCATTGGGTTAAGTCTTCTGGAGGTAAAACTGTCTTTGAGATGAAGTGGGGGCTTATGTTTATGAGGATTAACTTGATAAGTGGAGTTATTCATGGGATATGCGAGTGAGGTTAATCAGGGGGTGAGGTTAATCAGGTGGTATGCGAGTGGGGCTAATCAGGGGGTTAATCAGGAAGTTGATTAGAGAGTGTTTAGGAGATATACCGGAACGCTTTAGGTTTATTCATATTATTTTTCACAAGATAGATCGTTTCTTTAATTTTTTTATGATCTGTTTTTCAATTTGAACGGTAAAAGTATATACTCTATATACAGTTTCACCCCTATATAATATATAACCCATAGGGTTGGTGATCCCCGGTGAAAAAACCTGTATGGTTACGTTTCTCTTTTATATAAATTTTTTCAAATTTTTTTTGTCGAAAAATAGACATAAATCGAAGATATTGCTGTAACATGATTTTGGGGGTGGCTTTTGAGGATAGTTTCCAGAGCCCAAAATATAATAGTATAATACTATTATACTATTATATTGAATACACAACAATAGTATAATATTCTCATCAATTTTTAAGCGTCATAGCAAATGAAGAATCAGCGAAATTGGTGATTGACAACTATTTATATAGCAATAGTAGTTCGAAATACATAAAAATGAAAAAACGCCGAAACACGTCAATTTTATTTTATAATTTCCTAGAAGAAAATTTATTATTCAATTTTTTTATGATAATTTTGTGATTATGTACATGAAAAATCCACTCAAAAATAAATTCTTTCCCTGTACATAGTAGGGATTGCAACCCCCGAGTCCAGAACTATATGGTTTTGTTGTTTATTAAGTAAGAAATTTTTTCCATTTTGTTTCATCGAAAAATATACATTACAACCAAAGTTACTGCTGGTTCACTGTTTTTAAGGTGGTTTTTACTCCCTAGACAGCTTTTTCAGCCGATAAAAAAATGCGTGTCTCTTATTTTTTTATAAAGTATAACATATGCAACAAAATTACAGATGGACGGTTGGGAATGTTCCCTTGTCAGTATGAGGTTAAGTTATGTTAGTTACGACCGTTAAGTGCGGTCATTACTGTACGGCAGAACGCCTTCTTGAAATCCGTGCCATTATATGACGTATTTAAATTTTATAATTTGCAACGATTACCGAAAATCGTTCGACTCGCGTAGGTTACGAAGCGGCTGAGCGTAGCAGCCGCGATCGAATTGAGAGAGAGAAGGCGCGTAGGGGCAATGACCGGGAGGGGAGAGTTCGACAATCAGTACGACTGTGACTTTCAGTTCGGTAGCACCTCGGTGGTTTATTGTGAGCGGACATTGTGACTATTGTTTTGCGAGCGAGATCAGAGGGTGAAGAAAAACGATTAGCGACTGTTGAGCGAGTGGAGTGTTGTGCGCACACTGGTAACCTTGCGCGGGTTCTAGCGGCGGTTGGAGTCGCCTCAGCAACAACAACAGCAGCGAGTCGCTCCACAGCAACAGCGGGGAAACCGGCTCACAGGCAGCAACAGCATATAGCGTAACTGGATACAGTTGGCCACCGTATCCACAACAACTCCGCGGTAGGTGCACGACATTATATTTATTGTCATTGGCGTGCGATCCCGCGCAGCGTGCGCGGCGAAGTTATAAAGCGTGCGAGCGTTTAGTCCGCGACGATCGCGATTTTTTCTCTCTCTCTCCCTTCGTTTACATTGTCAATTGATTTCGCGTGCGTGAGTCTCTCGGCAAGTCCCTCCCGTGTATTCGATTGAATTTAATAAAGCGATCATCAGTTATTCGTAACCGAGTTATTGTTTCGTCTTTCCTTTGTCCGGGGTGCATGTTATTGTTTACGTCTTATTCGAATAAGCCGGTAAAAAGGCACGGATTGCGTAGACATCGAGAGAAGCGACTTGCCAACTGAAATACCAGCAGCGGCTGACGGAGCGCTGCGAAGCAAGCGCGACAGCGCCGCCAAGTGGCGAGTCCGCGAACCCAACTCCGCTTGGCGAGGGAACTCTGTGCAGGTGCACTCCCGGACAAGGTAGGTTAACGTGCTTACGGCACGTAGATAACAAGGCGTCGTTTGACCGAAATAACGAGTAGGTTTAATAGGTTAACGGTTAAACTGCAGCCTGTTACAAATTGTCTTTTATATAAAAAATTCCTCAGGCACGCGTAAGTGCAAAAATTTTTCACGAAACTACGTTTTGAGTTAATCGCAATTGTTTCAGAAAAATGAATAACTTTTGCAAATACAATTATATTCATTGCTCAAACTAATAAACTATCCTAATATTTCTTTATTTTTCAACTCGTAATTTATTTTCGAATTTATTAAATTACAATTCTTACAATTATTACAATGGAAATCAATATTTTTTAGTTATGAATGTCCGTTCAAGAATTTATATGTTATTACTAAATAGTACTCGCATATCTAACCACGTCTCTCTCAAACAAACTAAAATTTCAATTTTATTGATAGTTAAACTATTATTACACTTTATCTGTTCATATATAATTTGATAATTCCTTAATAGTAATAATACTTTTTTGGACAGAAAGTTGAACGTGAACTGCAGATCAATGGTGTTGATCATTTATGTTCAGGGAAATCTGTCTCATGCAATGATGACGTGGATTTAAGTTGTACAAATCAAATTAATCAAGTATCAAGTTCATCGGACATAGACAGCACCTTAAATATTCATGAAGAAGAGGTTCATCATACTTCTGCGATTCAATGTAAGTAATTAATTATTTTTCTTCACTTCTACGTAATGTAATAAGTATTTAGTTTTTGTTAAAAAAATGCACTATAAAAAATTGCTAAGATCGCTAGCAAACTTGATCGAATAACACTAAATTAAGTCTTATCACATCCACTAGCAAATGTATTCGAAATAATTTATCACATCATTAAATCATTTACTCATAACACCATGTATCACTAAACATCCTTCAAATTATTTTTACTAGTTTATAATGAACAAACGTGCCAATATTTCTGATATTTTATGTGTTGTAACGGGGTATCACCGTTTAATTATATTTTTATTCGCGCGACTTTGTTGAAAGGGCGAAAGTAATTATCTATGCTCAAAATGCAGTCCGGAGAGCATGGGGAGACAGGCGTCAGTCAACCAGTAAATCTATTAAGCCGTAAGAAAGTGAGTGGAAGCAAAAAGAAGTAAGCGAGTCGAAAACACTTGTTAGTAACACGAACAGAACCTTTTATTATCACTCAAATGCTACATAAGGTCGGCCCGCGCGTTTGTTTACATCGACGCTCGCTTATCGACAACACGTATTGTCGGGACGCTCGCTGCTCTTCGTTATTGGAGCCGCTACATGCACGCTTCGAATGTCGGAAATTAATTATCAAGCATGCACCCGCGATCGCGAGATTAAGCTGGCCAGCTTACCTTAATATCGCAGGCGTACGAAGGTGACACAGACGAGTCGCACAGCGAGAAAATTGTTCTATTGTTTATGTCGCGGATCGCGAGTTCGCGCACACGTGGTTTCGCCCTCGATGGCGAAACCTCACACACACTCTCTCGACCTGGTCTCGAACTGGTAGTTGTGTGGCATCTTGGCGGCAGCGATCACTGCTAGCTGGTACTGATCTGGGTGTTCTTCTCCCAATAATTGACTTAAGCGGGACTCGGATCGACAATAGCGAAAGGAAAAGCGGGCGATCGTGACGATGGTCAGTGCTTCACTGGTTCGGTTTCAATCGCGCGCGTTCCGTCTGCTCGCGCGCCGAATTCCTTCGTTATGTATTTCGTCCCCCCAGTAGGTGCTGCCCTCCCAGGCAGCAATTAAGTTAGGTTATCAGCGCTAATTTGATGTTTACCGTCACAGTGTAAAATTACTTTCTAAAAATTTCCTAGACCCTATTTTTAAAATTTAAAATTTGAAAAAATTAATGTTAATTTTGGGTCTGATCTCAAGTTTGAGGTCGGTTGAACTCTATCACTATCACATCAGTTTCAAAGTCATTTAACGATTAAATCACTGTTTAACTATACTCGCATACCCCGTCCACAATTGCATTCGTATTTCCTTTGATTAATTCCACCCGCTTACTCCCTGATTCAGTCCATTCTTATTCCTCTTAATATATTCTATTCGCTTACCCTCTATTTAACTTCATTCCCATACACTCTAGATAGTTCCACTTATATACCTCCTAGGCAACTCCACTCACAAATCTCTTGAGTACCTTCTGATTAACTTCACTAAACTTTTCTTTTCCATTACCCTCAAATTTTGTACTCTTTAAGGTGATAATTGATTTGTTTTCTCACCAATGACTCTATTTGTGAAATCGTTTTCTCTTCGTATCTAGGGTTCTGCTTCCTGATTTTCGTTTATGCTGTATTCCATGGTTTTCGCATATTAAATTCCAGTAGTAATCTACCAACATGTTTTTGTTTCATCGTTTTTGATACTTTCTTTCCATTTCTTGGATGTCTTGGTGAAATCTTACTTTTTGCTCTTATCTCAGGCCTCCAAGATTTCAGGGAAGAAATCTAATTGAGACCTTAAAAAATGTATCTTTAAGCTCATGTTGTACCCTAATTTTTTGTGACCTGTAAGCATATTTTTAACTGTTGTTTGACAGTTTTCTACTTTGTTATTGCCAAAAAATCCTTTTACAATATTCTTAAAATTGATCCATACCATACGCCCTTTTTTCGTCATTATAGATTCAAAATCTTTTAATTTCATCAATGTCCTTATGTCAGAACCTGTGAAAATTCCTTGCTTTATTTGTGCACCTGTAAAACTTGGGAATTTATCCAGTAGATACTTCAAGTATTCTCCACTTTGATCGAGGGCTTTGACGAATTGCTTTATCAATCCTAATTTAATGTGCAGACGATGTGATATTACAAATCACCTATTCTTTATATTGAGTATGTACTCTCTTAGTCTCCCGCGTTAATGAGTAAGAATTCGTTTGAAATTGACTCAAGTGAATATGTAGATAAAGTCTAATATTATTTATAATATACACGGTGACCAATTTTAATCACTCTACTAAGATATTTCGATTAGTAAGCTTTTATTTGAAAAAAGTTTCAGACAACAGTCGTTTAACTTTGAGCAGGCCATGTTTTGGTGATATTGCATTTGACCTTGAACGTATTTTTCCTAAGTTATTTGAAGGTGAATGTTGTTTTTTAAATAGGAACACCTATTTTTTATGTCAGATTTGGATTTGGTGGGAAATTTTACGTTGAGGTAATGTAACATGTGTAGGGGTTAATGAAATCCCCACCTCATCCCCAAGGTTATTTCTTTGTCAACCTTTTGTTCCAACGGGAATCTCTATTCTTGATCAAATGTTCGCATTCTACGTTCATTTCTATGTTTAGACAAGGTATTACGGGATCTCAGTAACCCCCACCTCATTCCCAAGGTCATTTTGAGATCAACCTAGGAAAAAATTATTCGCAGCCTACATCCATTTTTACGTTTAGATAAGGTATTACGTGTAGGGTCTAAGTGACCCCAACATCTATCCCAACGTCATTTCGAGGTCAACCTAGAATGGAAAATCCTATTTTGAAAACCGCTATATGCCCGCAATCCTACTTTTAAAATAAATCTAAGGACAAATCTTCAAAATTAATTCATCAACGTTTGGTCGTAATTTTCTGTTTTTATGACTTATGATTCCTCCGATTCTAGGCTTACAAATTCTAGGCAATTGAATCCATTTGAAAGAAGGTAAAACTTACGCTGTAGTAACATAGTGAATCTAGCAATATTGGTATCTTTCAGGGTGTTTAATAATATCATACTTGGAAATTGATCATAGTAAATTTTGATATGGTGGTTTAAAGTGTTTTTTAACATACCACGGTCTCCAATGTAGAATTCTTTATTTGTGTTGAAAATAAAAAAGAATCCATAAAAAAATTTTCATCTGCAATAGAGTGCAGAAGTTTGTAAAAAATCTTATTTCTTTTTCTACATATTTACTAGGTATCCTAGATTGTAATATCCTTAATTGTAGATAATCTTTCGGTATTATTATCGATCTGGTTATTATGGCATCTTTATGACATCTTCTTTTGATCGTTTATCGAAAATTGTATGAAGTATCTAAATTAAAGTTAAAATTTTGAATATGGCCGATTATCCTCTCGAAGAAATTTATGATATGATTCTAGTTCTCGGAGTGTCTTAATTGTTACAAAGCAGCGACAAGACTTTATGCGCCACGTTTTCCGAATAGAAGACATCCTGATTATACAACTTTATGGTGATTGACTCGACGAACTCGAAATAGATGCAGATGCCGTGAATTTAATAGAATGGATGCTGGCATATTAACTGTTCTAGCAGATGTGCATCCGAACCCTCACATTAGCAGCATACAAATAGAAGGGGAAATTGGTATACCGAGAACAATAGCTTTGTCTATTCTTAATAGACTTCGATATTATGCTTACCATATTACCTTAGTTCAAGACTTGAGACAAAATCATATTGCTATGCGTATCAACTTCTGTCAATGGGCTTTGAGAATGATACAAGAAACTCCTAATTTTTTCAGATTTGTACTTTTTTCTGACTAAGCGAAGTTCTGCAGCGATAGTCAATTTAACAGATATAACTGTCATTATTAATCATATACAAATTCCCATTGGTACAGATCTGTCGGTAGACAACATCGGTGGAATTTCACAGTATGATATGGTATAGTAAACGGTTACTTGATTGGACCTTATTTCTTCGATAGAATCATTAATGCAAACATATTTAGAGTTGATAAAGGATAGGTTACTAGAAATGTTAGAAGATGTTGATCTAGAAACAAGAAGAAGATTGTGGTTCCAGCATGACGGCACGCCAGCTCATTTCGCTGGAATTGTTCATAAATTTTTGGACGTACGGAAAACAATGGATCGGATAAGGGGGTCCAGTCGACTTGTCTCCACGTTCACTGGATCTCACATTGCCAGATTTTTATTTGAGGACATATCTCAACAACGTTATTTATGCAGAACGACTAACAGCGAGGGAGGATATGATGGCCAAGCTTGCAGAGCTATTCCAAGGGCAACGTTGTTAAGAACATTTGAGAATTTCCAGAGGCGTTTGAATCTGTGCAAATGGCAGCTACTTTAAACAGGCAAGTCATGGATAAGAAGTGAGAGGCACTAGGATTCACGGTAAACAAGCACCTCAGTAAGAGGCACGAGGAATCATGGTAAACAAGCACTCTAGTGAGAGGCGCGGGGAATCACGGTAAACAAACACCACAGTTAGAGGTACGGGGACTCGCGGTAAACAAGCACCCCTTACTGAAACTCCTGAATAATCTCCTAGCTTGACCTCAAAATGGCCTTAGGAATGAGGTAGGGGTCACTTACAAGGGAACCATCCCAACCCGACCTCACTGATTTAAATGATTTTGGGATATGTTGTAGTACTTGAAAAAAAATTAGATACGTGTTTTTTTTATCGGCCAATAAGGGTTTCTAAGGGGTGAAATCCACCCTGAAAATCAACCCCTAAAATCAGTTTTTTTAATATTTCTCAGCATCAAATGAATATTTTTCAGTAAACTCAACGTTAAAAAATTTCTTATAAAAAGGCGCTTTTAAGGACATAACATTTATACCGAAGGGTTGCAACCCCCCTTTTAATAGGGGTAAATACACTATTTTTTGTACTGTTTTACGACATGTAATATAGTAAATCAGCTCGAGTGATTTAACACT